ATGCAGCAGGATTCGGAATCGTCCGCGGAGGGAGCTCCGCGGGCCTTCAACTACGACCGGCCTCATCTTCCTTTGCCCGGGGGTGCGACCCTCTTTTGTGGGCTCCAATTTTTTGATGTATTCCGTGCGCGTTCACAATTGTTGACCCGCGCACATCCTCCAAACCCACCAGTTGACAATTGCGGGCCAATTCAGGTGGATTCAATGCGATTGTGCCTAAATTGGCCCGCAATAGTCAACTTCAGTCATGGGAACCTGATAGCACTTTTGTTTCAACGCACACGTGTTGGAAAGACGTTGAACCAACGTTGAACAAATGTTGGAAACACGTCGGCCGCGTGTTGATCAAACGGTTGGAAACATAAAACGGTGATGCTCCAACGGTTGGCCACAGCATTTGTCGTCGTTCCAATGCTGGTCCGGCGCGGCGACCGAGTTGGAAACTTAATGAACTTTTCCCACATTTTTTCTGTTGGTGGCGAGGGAGGACTTGAGGGCGGTCAACGTTTGGAGGATAGTTGCGAGTTCCGGGGTGGTGGTGGTCGAAGTTGTCTGATCGCCTGCGAGTTCGCGGGCAATGCTGTTGACGGAGTCGGAACAAAGATCAAACATGTTGATGGAAGATTGGGCTATGGTGGGGGAAGAGGGGGTGGATGACGAATGTGAACAAGGACGAACCCGTCTCTTGCATCAATTGTCATCCACCCCCTCTTCCCCCACCATGGCCCAATCTTCCATCAACATGTTTGATCTTTGTTCCGACTCTGTCAACAGCATTGCCCGCGAACTCGCAGGCGATGAGCCAACTTCGACCACCACCACCCCGAAACTCGCAACTATCCTCCAAACGTTGACCGCCCTCAAATCCTCCCTCGCCACCATCAACACCACCATGGCCGCCATCTTCGATCGTGTGACCACGCTCGAGGGAAACTCCCCCGCCATCACGGTCGTCACCACGACCACACCCCGCTCCTCCACACCCCAACCCAACCCCTCCATCCAGGTCGTCACCACCAACACCCCCACGTCCACAGCCGCATCCAGCCACACACCCCCGCCGACCTCCTCCATTCCTACTACCTCTACCACCACATCCACCACCTCTGCCTCCTCCACCCTTCCCCCCTCCTCATCCGGCGCTTCCAGCACACCACCTCATTCCTCGCCTAACCACGTCACCCCTCTTCCCGCCCCGCACTCCCCCATACTATTTCACAACCCATCATGACGACCTCCACCATCCCCACCCCCCGTCCCACCTATTCCCAAGTCACCTCCGGGGTTTACCCCGCCATGCCACAACTTCCCCCCAACTACCTCCTTGACGACAACAACCAATTCGATTACACCTGCTACGACACTACCCCCGATAACCTCAACTTCAACACCCTCGCCCGGATCGTTTCCCGCGACGGGGAAATCCCCCATTCCTTCCGATCCGTCGACATCATGCCCTTCTCCGGCCTTCCCCACGAGGACGTTTTCCTCTTCCTTATCCAGCTCCAAAACTCTTTCAAGCTCAACCACATGCCCCTTGTCCACTGGCTTCCCATTGTCACCTCCCGCCTCCTCGGCAATGCCGCCAAATGGTGGATGGCCGAAGTCAGCAACCGCCGCGCCTCCGGAGGACCACGTCACTACTTCCTCCAATGGGCCAACCTTCTCACTGCCACCTTCCGCCCCCAAAAAACCATCGATGACTACCTCCAACAATTCAGGGGTAACAGATCTCGGAGGGGGAAGAGGGGACGAACATCATGTTGATGGAAGATTGGGCCATGGTGGGGGAAGAGGGGGTGGATGACAATTGATGTAGACAATATTCGTCAACCAACGAATGTGAAGTTTAGTATCTCACACTCCTGCAAGGTGCCTTCGATAATCAAGTTCAATCAACTGAAGAGCCAAGTTTTTTTTTTTTTTTTTTTTTTTTTTTTTTTTTAAGAGCGAAGGTTTCTTGACGACTCTTTGGTATAATGGATATCGATAGTCAACTGGCTAACTTCTGTTAAACATTTACTCTGCAAGTTAGAAACTCACTCAAGTAAATTCACCATTTGGCATTTACGATGTTTCTATATCTTTGCGACGTTGTCGGGTGGGTTAGCTTTGGTGTTCGCTGCGGTGACGGTCAACAGTTAAAACTTTAAACCCCTCCACCTCCTTCCAAACTCACCATATTGTCTCGTCTGGCGAAACCCTCTGCTGCCACGTAGGCAGCTCATGCAAGCTCTCAGGGCCAACTGCGCTGTAGCTTCACATCTTTCCATATCCGTGAGACTCCTCGGAGACCCGACAGGCGATCACGATCACCTATGTGAAGGATGGAGAAGAATAGAGGGAGGCACACATTATGAAGTCGCCACAAAGTTCAGACTACATCATCATCCCAAGCAGGGATAGCATGGAAAGCAGTAGGAAAATGATGCCACCAAGAAAAAAGACTGCCCATGCCTGTTTCGTTAGCGTTGATGGTTTCCAGGCACAGGTCTCCTTCCCAAGTTAAGTAGCGCAGTCCTATGACCATGGCGTTTCTCCCCTGTTTGACTTCCGGGGAAGGGGAACGTTACGTACATATTGACAATTGCGAGAGCTACTCCGTTCCGATCCTCCGCTTTCAGCCTGACCTCTCTGTATCTATCTTACTGTCTATTGCTATTATTGGGCCAAGCCACTCGAAAATGTTCCTGGCACACGCCTAACACTAGCCCATTATCCTGGACAGGTTCATGCAACGTTAGCAGCACGGCACAGAAAGAAACCTATCCTTTTGATTCCTATCCGCTTGTAGCCAGGCCGTTTGGCGTGCTCACCTAAATCCATGTCCATACCCATGAGCTGCGCCGCCAAAGCTGTGTTGTAGTCGCAAGACCAGAATGACGCACAGACATGTCTCTACCAGCAACAAGAAAGGAAGCATGTAGCCTCAAAAGATAGATAGAATGGTCATGGTCACACACAACTTCTATTAAACTCAACAGCTACTTTCCGGTGCTTGTGGACCCACCCACTGATATTTTTTTAAATTAGGTGCGGAAAAAGATGCACACAAACTTCAAAGTCACTTTCTCACCTGAAATGGGTAGTTGTCAAAAGAACTCTTACCTTAGACGGCCAAAAAAAAAAAAAAAAAAGAGCAACAAGCTTCTAGGTCACAGCTCACAGGTTGCAATCCTTTCAGCACTGATCCAAACATCTCTACCGAATCACATTGCTGCAAGTACCCAACCAAATGGAGGGAAACATGGGTGAGGGTGTACAACAGAATGGTAGGATGAGGGAGTGGGTGCGGATGCCGCAGCAGAGAGGAAGGGGCATTGGAGGGGATAAAGGGAACATCAAAATGACATGTACACAGGCCTCACGCAAACAATCTCCTCCAGGCTTATCAACAACTATCTTGACTTCCGAAGCCGGAAATGTTGGATGGCATACTTGGGCTGCTTCTCCAAGCTAACACTTCCAGAGCTTGTGCATGAATGGTTGGACTGCCTGCTGCAAGCACTTCCCCAGGAGCTGCATCCATCCATCCATGCAAATGACAGGAACAAGAAAGAACTGCAAGTTAGCAATCACCTTTAAGGGGTGTCCAAAAAAATAAGCAGGCTCCTCCTGTACGCGAGGTTGAGATGCCACACGACAATTCTGTGAATCCCATTGGATTGAAGATCCAATTGCCACTGAGATTCCAGAAAGTGTTGGGGCATCACGACTTGAACCCACAACCGGCCCCACTTGTTTTGTTGTTGAATGTTTCAGTCTTTTTCTGTTCACTTCTTCGGTTCTGCCAATATTTGAACCTGGGACTTGCAGGTAGAGTTCCTGGGCGCCAGGGTTACAGACAGTAGGCACTATCAGATCAGGCCTACCTAGTAGACCTAGGTTCAACAACCTGATGGTCTGCCTGATAGTCACTACTGGTGTAACCCTGGTTCAAATTTCCCAGATAGTAGACCTAGGTTCTAAAACCTGCAGTAGTAGATTCCAAATTTCCCAGAAGTCTGACCCAGACCCAGTCGACGACCCCTACCTTCTTCCCCCGAATACAACGTACGGTCATTATAGCTGTATTTGAGGCATCTTTCAGTCTAGATACAGCTATAATGACCGTACCTTGTACTCGGGGGAAGAAGGTGGGTTCAAAAACCTGACGGCTGGGTAGAAGAAACAATGTAGGTTCACAAAAAAAAAAAAAAAAAAAAAAAAGTTGGCAAGTTTTCAACCCTGCACCCGAAACTCTACCTTCTTTCCCCGAATACAACGTACCATCATTATAGCTGCTGTATTTGAGGCATCTTTCAGTCTAGATACAGCTATAATGACCGTACGTTGTATTCGGGGGAAGAAGGTAGGGCAAAGGGGCAAACATGCCGATTACGGCGTTGCAGCCCTCCAGCGAGAGAGGTAAACTCCCTACACTGAAGAGAGGTACAAAGCTATGCTTGCAGAGGTTCCCTGTATAGACTTATTAGTAGTAGTGGTAGGTAGGTTGTGAAAGGAAAAAGATTCTATGTTCCATGACATCATGATGGCAGAACAAACACAGTATCCAATGTCACTCTTCTCTGTCTGGTGCCCAGCGCCCAGCCTACGCTACTTGCCTATCTACTACAGCTGCGTTCACGCAACAGGCTCATTTCGACTTTGAAGACCAATGTACATGACGTCAACACCATAGCCGACCTCCCTCATGCACCAGGTACGTATCTCGTCTCCCCTCATCACCCCCTGACACCAACTCTCTCTCTCTGCGCCTCCTCCCGAAGACCCTCCTGTCGCCCTCTACCTGCCCCCCACCCTGCAGCCCGGCTATGGCTGCTAGCGCCCCGCTGCCCCTTCAGCGCCCTCACCCCCAGCGCCCGTGTGCGCCCCTGGCCGAATAGCGCAGCATGCAGCCACTTGCACAGCATCGTGACCACATTGCCAGCTTGGGCCAGAAACTCTGGCTGCCCTCCTTCCTATATGGAAGTGGCAGCCCCTCCTGGCCTGCGTGGACCTGGCCGTGGAGGCTTCCAGNGCTTGGGCCAGAAACTCTGGCTGCCCTCCTTCCTATATGGAAGTGGCAGCCCCTCCTGGCCTGCGTGGACCTGGCCGTGGAGGCTTCCAGTAGCTTCCGGTCGGGCCCCAGTGCCTGCGACCAGGCCCTTCTCTACAGTTGCCGGCCTGGGCCCTTTACAGTTGGGCATGCCCAGGATTTTCAGACTTCGGCCATTTGCTGCACTTGAACTGGCCCCGGGGCAGGTACATCGACAATGCTGGTTTAGTCCGTGATGTATCTGCCTTGCAATGTGTGTGCCCGAGGCTCAACTGTACGGCGCAGCACACACCTTCTGGAAAGAGCCGAGAGGCTCACGTTTCCTTGCAACCAACTCGCGTGCCGTAACTGCCGGAGTACCCACACATGGAAAAATGTCAAATTTTGGCCTCTTGTGAATATTCAGGCCCGCCTTCACTTAGGGCGGGCACAGGGCTTGCTGAGGGCCTCTGCCCAGCACATGTACATGTCTGATAAGGGCCCTGCGAGGGCCTATTCCTCACATTCTTTCTGGGTTACCAGTGACAATATGTGACATTAATGCAAATCTGTAGTCAATCAATGATATGTTAGTGAACGAGAGCTTCATTGCCTTGCAACCACTTTCCACTCTCATCATCTCACCATTATGTTGCTCATCAATGAATCACCAGAAAATATGGCCTACATTGTGCTATGTATGCGAATCCAAGTGGAAGGTTGGTCTGAGAGACAGGTAGACACACACCTTCAGAAGCAGGGAGCCTGTTTGCAGACCACTGAAACTCGTTTCCTTCCCAATCCGTTATGACGCCACCAGCACCTTTTACCACAGGCACAAGGGCCATGTAGTCATATGGCTGCCAAAGCCGAAGTTTTGCATTACAACAAACCACACATGAAAGCGTCAACCCCACAAGAGGACAAGCACTCTGTGAATCTTCGCTGAAAGTAACTCTGAAATGAAAAAGAATTCAGCGATCCTAAGTTTTTTGAAATACTGAAAATGCCCCCCTTTTGGATAACCGTTGAACATTCTTCTGCGAATGTTGTTAAGCAGTGCAGATGTCGAATATCCTGAATGCCCCGCCCCCCCCCC